TAAGTAATCTATACTAGTTCTGAAGTAAATCATATTTACCCGTATGAATCGTCTACCCGTATGAAAAGTACTGTGTGATAAGTCACGCACCAAACCTATACTCTCGATATACATGCTGTTCTTACTTAAAAAAGAATATTGGGTTAACAAGATACGTATATTAAAGTGCCATGCTTTCCTGATGTGCTCTCATTCTTATTTGAAATAATGACATAAATAGTTACCACTCATCTTTCAATATTTTTCAAGGTTGGGTTAATCACAAACATATTTGAATATGTACAACAGCTATACTTACTTATCTTTATACTTAAAGGCATCAGGTTTGTCTGTCATAAGACCCCGAAACAAATATGTCCAACACAGCCCAATATTTGGCTCTTGGCTCCTTGTTATTATATTTTATAACTATTGTTTAACAACAGTTTCTTTCTGTAAAATATGTTCATTTCAGAAATTAGATGTTACTCTAGCATCAGGTCTGTGGTACGTTCACTGCATCAGCATTATATTAAAACGATATTTACATTATATAAATACATACAGAGGAAACGCTTAGCATTTATCTTTTAAGTAAGAGTGCAGGGCGACTTGCTTTATACATATAAATGTGGACATATATGTATGGACATTTGGATGATATAGATATACCTCCTTAAAGATGACTGTAGAAAATGTAATAATTATGTGAGTAATCAGGTTAATACCACAGCAATATTCAGCCATATTGCGATATTGGTTTCCAACATACAAGAGGGACCATGAAATTATGACTTGAATTTGGACCTGGCTTTCTGGTGTGATGTAACACCCCAGAATCCCCGGTAGAAAAAGAGCTGTAAGCACGAATTAAGATCACGAGATGATACTGATGTATACATCTGGACATATATTTGCGTAGTATTACTACGTTAATTCATCAGTATATATGTATTTTGCATAAAAGGATATTGTAGGATCGACGCTGACATTCGCATATAACCTATTCACCAGTGCTGTAATATTTAATTCATTTCTTTTGACACATATCGACACGAGAAACTATATTTAAATCTAAAAGGAGCTCAAGTGGGGTGGAAATTTCAGCCTGAACCTGTTGAACAAGGCTTTTTTTCTTTTTGGGCTATAGCATTGCCGTAAGGCCTGGGCGGAAGGGAACACCTGTTTGCACCCATCAGATACCAATCACAACTTCTCTGTCCAAACGAAAATAAAATACGAAAAATGTCGGAAGTGTAATCCTTCTAATTTTCTATTTAGATACATGTTTTAACTTTAAAGTAATTATATGTATCCAATGTATTATTGGTATCTGTGATGCTGGTACCGTTTTGTCGCCATTGTGTAGCTTTTGTGGAGTTATTATGAATATCAAATACATGTCTTGAAATATGGACTTGTGAAAGAACTCATCATTGAACCATATGCATTTAAATTAATGCATATACCATTTACTTGGCGTGTATGGACATATTATCCATCTACTTATACACACCTATTATGGACATATACAGAATTTCATTGTACCTTATCATTTAAATAAATACCCGTGAAGATCCGGGTTAGAATAGGCCTTCAACAACCCATGCTTGTACGAAGGCGACTAACATGATCGGGTGGTTAGGCTCGCTGACTTGGTTGATGCATGTCATCGTATCCCATATGCGTAGATCGGTGCTCTTGATGATGATAAATAGATTGTCTGGTCCAGACTGGATTATTTACGAACCACCGTCATATAGCTGGTCTATTGCTGAGCGCGGCGTTAAACAACAGACAATCAAACAAAATCTATTATTAAACACCTTCCAACAATGAGAAATTAAACTTATATTTTTCTTAATATTCTGTTATATTTATAACAGAATTTGATTCATAATTTAATTATTGCGTTGCTTTCTTCTCTGTCATTCAATGTACATGTTCAAACCCCATGTTTAATATTTCATTTTTCACAAATGGCTACGTTAGTGAGTTGCCTAGATCTCTCGTTACCTTTCTCACACGAATAGATTAAAATAATTTGTTTTACTATCATATTTCTGTTTATCTAATTCATAATACGAAATTGATAATTCATTTATCACAGTATAGATCATATTCGTTTATATCACTATCTGATGCTAAGGTTTTATTGCAGAAATTATAATTAATTCCAAATATAGAAAGATACACAATTTGCCATTATTTGACTTTTAAACTGTACAAAGTATGATATAATGATCAGAATGCCTGTAACGGGTAGTATTTAAGAAAGAAATATTTGTCGATAAGTCCCATTTTTCAGATATGCCCTTCAGTAGTATCATTGTATATCTCCAGAGAGAGGTTTACATTGTAGTTCTCATTTGTGGATAATTCAAAATGCAACAAAGAAAATATATATGCTACCATGACGAAAGAATACAGAGTATACATAACTCGCAATTCTCCAAAAGAGATTTCAAATCACAATAACATATCTGATATAAAGAGAGGTGGTAATGATTTAATCTCTACACTGTGCCCTTGTTCGTGAGCCCTTCTTCTATTCAGCAAACAGCCCCAAACCGAAACTCCACAACATATCCGATTACACTGATTCGGGCTGTCCCAGTTCTCCATGCGATACTGACGCCCGTTCGTCTCCCAGACCATACAGAATAAATTTAAAAGGAATCCAGCTCAAGTCTAGAACGATTTGACAAGCCTAGATTGCCTCAATTCTATCCGTGAAAGTAAGCATTAATACAAAAAATATTGTTCTTGTCTGCTTCAGATTATATTTTGTAAATCCATATTTTTTACTAGGAAAATTGTACTGACACCGGCGCTGTCCCTATTGAAGCTATCCATAAGAATTTTGAATTGTCGTCTATTGTTCGATGTCTTTGGTTTGGTATGTTGTTTTACGCCGCATTCAGCAATATTCCAGCTATATGACGGCGGTCCGTAAATAATCGAGTCTGGACCAGACAATCCAGTGCTTAATATCATGATCATCGATCCACGCTACTGAGATCGATGACATGCATCAACCAAGTCAGCGAGCCTGACCACCCGATCCCGTTAGTTGCCTTTTACGGCAAGCATGGGTTGCTGAAGATCTATTCTACCCCGGAATCTTCGCGGATACAATACATCGATGACAAGTGAGGAAATCACAAAGTAATCGTTGATGCCGCGCTACACTATGATAAAAATTATAATCAAGTTGACTGGTGTGTACATTACTACAGTGAACATGTACATGATCATGCCCTAATAATCAAATGCCGTAATGTCAAATACTAATTTATTATTGTGTGATGAATTTAACTGGTTCAGTGGTAACATGTGATATTAATATTCCATCAATTTCTTTCCTGGTTGGTCCATCCATGTCTACAAAATGAAAATAATACAATTAAAATGGTGCATAGAATAATTCTTAATTTCAGGCTAGAGCTGTGGAAATCTAGACTTTTCCAATCATTATAGTCTTGAGTTGGTCTCATTTTTTACAATATTCTCTTGGGTCAACGTCAACTTATACCATACATTAACAAGACCAGTTTGACCTCCTCCGGAGCTCCCGGATTTTGGTAATATCATCTAACAAGGCCAACTCTGCTCTTAAGTAAACAGGAACCTAATCAGCGAGGGGTCCTTTATCATCCCTATGTGGCTGCTTATAAAAATCTGATATCTCTTCCCAAAGACCTGGTTAATAATATATTTTCGGCCGAATATTCGAAACAGAAAGAGTGAGCTGGTGCTACATATGTAAACGGTTCTATTTTAAATGACTGCAGCGCTCCATTATGAAAACAAATTGTTTTAACGCCGCTATCAGCAGTATTCCAGTGATATATGACGGCGGTCTGTTGTATATGAAATAAATGCATTTTGAATCTTGAATCTTGAAAGTTGTAACATTTCCGCAAATAAGTATCACATGCACTATACAGTATATCAACTGCAATATACTGTATACAACATTCACTATACAGTGTGTCGCGAGCTCTGCGCTGGGCCTCTCCCTTCGGCAAACACCTCATGAGGGTTGCAACGAGGTCACAGGTCAGGCGTGCGCTCGTCAGTTGTCTAATACGGTCAAGATTAAGATCTTCCGGAAGACCACTGCACAAGATGTATGTGGATTGTTGATAAGTTACTACGTGTTTGGAACTGGGAGTTGAACACTTAGCACATTTAGAGAAGAGCTCACAATAAAACGTTATGGACTCGCGGACGGAATTGTGTTTTCATTTCAAAACGTACATGTATCAGGTTGAACTTCTACGACAGATGTAACTTAGTTACCGCTTCCGAATGCATTTGCTGTGATTAACAATAATGCTCCGAGTCAATACATTTTGTCAAATGTATGACATGTATTACGTGAATGAACATATTGTTTATACTCGTCCATGTTTTTGACGGACAATATAATTTACATGCTCGGTAAAAGTGAGGACGGGCATCATTGTGTGTTTCCGTGCTTTGTTCAGATGAACAATTGACTTGTCCTTGCATATGTTTGTGACGGGTGCCACTTGTGTGGCAGGATACGCTCACCTTTTCCCGAACACCCATTGGATGACCTAAACCACTTCGGATTTTTATCCCACATCAGTCTAATACACCGTGATATAACTGAAATACTGAAATACTGTACAGTTGAAAATGATGTTTAATGCGATTACCGTGTGTTACTGCAACTGTTCAAATTTTGTGCAGTGATGTTATGTTTTATGTAAAAGAAAGCATATTCAATTATCCATTTGATTTGAATAGAATATACTTGCGACAGTGTGTTTTATTAACGCCCAAAACCGTAATTTAAACACATAAGATACCACTAGCTTTAATAGGCCATACCGGAATAAAATAGTGCATGTCATCTTATCCCAGTTGCGTGGATCGATGCTCATGATGTCAATCACTGGATTGTCTGGTCCAGACTCGATTATTTACAGACCGCCGTCATAAAGCAGGAATATTGCTGAGTGCGGCGTTAAACAACAAACAAAACAAAACTACATATAATACCAATGTATGTGTGCAATTGCTAAATATCTTAGCCTGCTAAAGGGAGGACTACACATACTTTCATTAACAAACGTCATCAACGCAATCCTAACTTCCTCAAAACTTGAGTTACTGATACTCTCCGATCCATCTACGACAAAGTAAGCTGTGTATGTCCCAGAGCAACCTGTTAAAAAAAATTAAATGGTCACACGTGAAGAATATGTAATCGATTCAAGACATATTTGGGAAGGACAAATTTGGACACCCTTATGATTGTATGCTAATATGCTAAAGGACAACAGCATCACTCAATGGAACAGCCTCTCCACCTCCCCGGCTCACCAGTATACTCACCATTTGTGCCCTGTGATGTATAAATGTGTATCTGGGCATAACAGAGGAAGGAGCTGTTCATATTCAAATACATAGACCTGATATATTATTTTTTAAAGATTGTATTTGGTGTGATTGAAGCAAGCAATGTTCTGATGTCTTCTTGCCATTCTACCAATGAACATTCGCCATCCGAACATGTTTTTGCAATACAAATTGCATCGTCTGCGTAATATTATTCAAGTTCAAGCAAACCTATATTGAATACATGTACAAATGTAGCGGTAGAAGTCATGGGCGGCAGATCATATAGTGTCATGCTTATTACCCAGATACAGAGAATGACTTGATCTATTACACTGTTTATATCACCTAATATTAGATTAGGTATGTTAAGTATAATATTCATTAAGGCATCGAATTCCGCAGCGCCGCCTTTTTTGCCTCTGTTATGTACCAAACCACAAAGTCGTGAGTTTTGAACATTGAAAGTTGGACATTGAACTTTCGTGAATTTTTTCTGTTAGCCAAAGCAATATAAACGAGTAGGTAAGAGTTGGCAGCCGCTGTTTGTATGTTTGGAAAATTATCATATTAAATCAACCATGCATATTACACATCTGTATGCGTGTGATGTCCTTTGATATCTTCAGTAAACTAAAGTAAACATATCTTGTGATTTGGAAAAGCCAATCGAAACGAGAAATATCCAAATAATTGCTGATTTATCCAGAAACGACATTGTTCGCATTTATATTTCGACATTATTCTCAGTGTGTATGGTGACTGACGTCGTAGGACGTCACGTATGAACCGAGACACGCACAAGAGTTGCTTTAGTAATGCTCTCCTCACAGGCAAACACTGTTGAAATGACATTTTGATATAAATATACAAGCTCATGCATATGCTAGTTCTATATCTGCAATTTACATCAATATTAGCTTTCCTTGTCAGTTATACAAACGTTTTTTCAGGTATGACCATGCATGAGTGAAAGTGTTCAATGAGGATAAATCTCTCTATCCTGTTGAACAAAATTGAGGTGAACGATATCGCATTTTCCGACTATTGAAATTTAAATGTAATGTAAACGTATGACGCATGTATAAACCCCTTACATTTAGCCCACTATCACGAGGTAAATGCAACGATAAAAGCGTGTTTTTAAGTCATATCAAGGCTGGAAATGTTTAGACCATATGTCCTATGGGAATGTTCTCTCTGCTGACAAAACCTGATTTAACACACTATGTAAGTCATTGTTTAACCGGTGCGGTCAGGTAGCCTAGTGGTTAAAGCGTTCGCTCGTCACGCCGAAGACGCGGGTTCGATTCCCGACATGGGTGCAAAGTGTGAAGCCCATTTCTGGTGTCCCTCGCCGTGATGTTGCTGGAATATTGCTAAAAGCGCGCGGAGTAAAACCATACTCACTCACTCACACAATGTTTAACCCGATTGTCAATTCGAGTCAGTTCAATATTACTAGTGTCATCTAGCCCAAGGCGTTTACGCTTGTTATTGTCCAACAGTCAAATGTGTATTCTACTGTTCTACTGCGACTACCTCCTTCAGATTTTGTTGATTCCTCTCATATATGTTGTAGGGGCGGTAGGATAGCTCGTATCCTCCCAAAGTAACTACATGCCAAAATCACTGCAGTGTAATTCAACAAAGATAATGGTCCAGTGTGATGCGACTGTGGACAGTACCGCCAGACAGACATGCTAGCTGAATGTGTTTATCCTCCAACTCCAAAAAACAGTCTCCCACCATGTAGCAAAACGACGATATTTTTTAAGTGTTTGTCTTTACTTGATAGCAACAGATGTATTTTAAACTGAATATATCCTTTTAGGTTCAATAAAAACAGGACATTGTCTGGTCATGATTCTTTTCTTTACATGCCGCGTTTTTTTAGTTATTTAGTAGCGGGTTCCACCAGTCTTTCGAAAACATCAGATGTCAGCACTGATTTTCTGTGATCCATTCATGCATTAGCTACCATTATTCACCGGCAGATAATCGATAATGGTTCTTCTCTAACGTTGACGTTTTATATTTACATTCATTTGTGGTCGACTGCAGCAACATTTGACCTGTCACAGCTTAACACAAATGTGAGATCAACGAAACCTCTCCACAGGGTCTTATGAAAGAATTTCTGTAGCCACCTAGGGACTTCATAATTATTGTATGAGCAAATTTGGTGCACACATGCAATATATATCCCGTTAGTAAACAACTGTTGTCATGATCAAGTCGGAATACTACCATCATCATGTAAGAATCCGGTCGGGTCCGGTTGGGATCCGATGGCGATCCTATACACGATCCAGTTGCGATCCAGACTGAATAAGTTCTCATAACCTCGCGAAGGGCGGTCGAGTAGGTTGGTGGTTAAAGCGTTCGCTCGTCAAGCCGAAGACCCGGATTCGATTCCCGACATGGGTACAATGTGTGAAGCCCATTTCTGTTTGTGCACCGCCCTGATATTGCTGGAATATTGCTAAAAGCAGCGTAAAACCATACTCACTCACTCACTCATTACCAAGCGACGGAAAGGGTTGTTACCTTTATGCATGAATTTAATATAAACATGTTAGACTCTCATGTTTCCGTCACCAATAACTCAAGGGGGATTCATTTTGTTGATATATTCGGTCACCTTCTGCCTATGAAATTTTCGGCTGGTATTATTATGTAAGATATGACTTTTATAGCATTTTTACTTAATATCATCTCAATGTTATTACAGTTCAGCATATGAAAACACTGCGATATGTTTGATCTTCTTAAACAAGCGTTGAAAATGTAATCACATCCACACCTTGTGTTGACTCACCGCCCGTTAGCTGTAGTTTGATAATCCTGTGATACGATTAATTGTACGTTTGTTTACTGCATTTTATGTACATGCATTTGCACTTTCTGGGCAATTCGTTAATATCACAAGGCATATGTCTACTAACGTATTTTTGTATGCTTCGATTAAATCATAAAAGTCTACGAATTCTCGGTTCACAACATTCACGGCCGAGCCATCGACGTGGCGCTCGTGGTACCAACAGCAGATTCCCTCGAATTATGAGTCTGGCTTTCCCGGGTGTATCTGATATTCAAGTATGGCGTAGAATGTGCCTTTGTATACACCTATACACTTAAGCTGATCACACGTTTCTGTTGTCTTTAATGCATATATGATATTTATTTCCTACATGTATTTTGTGCATGTATATTAAAGTAAAATCTCAAAAATAAATCTCATAAACGTTCAATATTTTGCAAAAACATTTGTTTTTCAATTTTGCTTACTATTATCCCACACGAAAAAGCTTATGGAAAAAAATCATTCATTGACGCATAAAGCATTTGTGACTAAATTATAGCAATCATAGATAAAGTTATATTTCCATCTTCAAAGGTTCTGGGCAATTTGTCAAACACTGAAAGCAAATGTCATCGGAAGTTTACACAGAGAGTAAAATGCTGGACTTTAACATCCCCATCGGTACCTGTTGTGCTCCCCTCTTTGCTGATCTGTTTCTGTACATATGAATCGGAATTTCTGCTCTGATTGAGCATTTCAAAACAAGGGAAATTTAAGTTAAAGTGCAGTTAACATGAAATAATCTACCGCGATGTCAAAGGTAAACGTTTTCAATGTCTGATATGTACGCGTTGCGGTAGCGTCTATCTACTACATAATCTTCAGATGCTTAGCAGGAACCGGTCAATCAAGATCTAATTTAAGGTGTTGCGATTTTTGTTCCTACAAAAGGCTGCATTCATTGCTGAGTGTGTAAAAAGAATTGTGAATAACTAAAATAACAATTCACGTCTTCAACTATCTTTTTATGACTAACAATAGAGCGGCTGTACATAATGTTGATATCTCATATATACTGAACCGAAAAAGAAACGTCACCCCAAGTAACATTGCATGAAAAGTTGTCATTTAAATATCTGCGTAATTTTGGTCAAAGTTTCTAAACTTTAACATGACCTTACATTACTTTGCACTGATTTTCCGTGATCCATTCATGAATTAGTTACCATTATTTACAGGCAGATAATCGAAACTAGTTATTCTCTAACGTTGACGTTACCTCCAGCAGTGGAGAAGAGTCCTCTTCTCAGACGAGAGCAGTTACTGTATCTCAACAGCAGATGGCAGAGAGAGAGAGAGAGTCTGGCTACGCCGTAGGGAACGTTATTCGGATGCTTGTGTTGTTGAGAGAGACGCGTGGGTTGGTCCGGGCATCATGGTGTGGGGTGGAATTGGTTTGCACAGAGGTTCGACCCTGTGGTCTTCCAGAACATCGATCAAGGGAGAGGCAATGGTGTCACAGCAGCTCGGTACATTGATCAAGTCTTGAGACCACCCGCCATACCTCATTTGGCACATCCCCGCAACCACGAGTTTCAGCATGATAACGCCCGTGTCCACACTGCGAGAGCAACAAGAGACTTGCTCCAGCAGAATGGCATCAGAAACATGCAGTGGCCTGCTCTCCGTCCCGATTTAATTCCCATTGAGCACCTGTGGGGCGAGATTTAAAGACGGCTGAATGACATCCGACCAAGGCCGACAACTGCAGATGAACTGCGTCAGGCGTTCCTCAGAGTGTGGGCTCAAGTGCCTATGGCCTTCATCAACCGCCTCATCCATTCCATGTATCGACGTTGCAGGGCAGTCATCAATGCACATAGCGGACACACAAGATACTGACTTGTGATGCCATTTTCTCAATTTTCTCTGAGACTAGTATTGTGTTTCACTTTAAGAGCATTTGACACTTTAATTTCAGCCTTGATCAGTTTTGCCAAGTTTCATCTTTTTAATATGTCTCAAATTATGTTTAGTGTTTGGACAAATAAGCTTTCTCATATATCCACCCATGGTGGCGTTTCTTTTGCCGTTCAGTATATTTAATAAACGAATCGTGGTCGTTGTTTATCATACAATAAAACACTGCTGCGCCTCTCATAGTATATTCTCCCTTCAGTGGTTTATTGTACGATCAACAACTTCAACTCGTCGTTTATTTCTTACATAAACACAAAAATGCTAATCAATTTGTTAGTTTTTCTCAACAAGGTTTATCTAATCAATTTTAAATAATAGCGTCATATGTACCACAACATAAACATATATAGATAATGAATAGTTAATAGTGAACTAATTACGTTTTTAAATTGAAAGTAAATTGTACCCATGGTTTCATTGTATTTATAACAAAACTCACATTACACTCCTCTAAATGCTAACTGGCATACCCAATGCGCATCTCTATCAACTTTATAAACATTCCAGAACAGTGTGTACCCGTACAGATTCCATTTCCTTTTAACTTTGATCGCTGGTCAAACATCTCACTGTTTACATTAAGTTTGTAAATTTGTTGATCTGGATGCTTTGAACAACGAAATTATTTCTAAGAAAACAACTTTTAATGTTCAGCTTGGTTCCGTCGTACTATGCTATTGCTAATTTCAAATACTCTGGATTTACGATTTTGCATTTGCATGGTAGTTGACAGTAGTACACATACCTGGACAACGAGCGACTTCACATGATCTGACGACGATCTCCTGCACTGGTTCAATGCAGAATGATCCACCATTGGCCGGAACTGGGTTGTCACATGGGCGCAGCCTTAATGATACTCCTGTAACATACTCCCCACATGTTGGACACCGTGGAGTGTCCCACTCTCCCCATTCTGACACTCCACCATCAACTGTGAAAACAGAAATTAATCCAAATGTCTGAAAATGGTTACGAATTTGAAAAGTTGAATAAATGCGTATTCTACATTTATATCCGATACATCAATCGTTTTCTAGCATTCATACAGTGACAATAGAACCAACGTTAATTAACTAAGGAAATATACAAGGTTGGTAGTGTCAAGAGGTAGAATTTAGACATATCACAGTGTCACTAAAATAGACAAGACAAGGGTGCGTGCAAAAGAGTAATTATGTCCATTTCTTTTCACGATCAATTGCAATAATGCATAATCGCAGAACATCTTATAACAGTTTATACAAACAACACACAACATCTACCGCCAAGAGAAACATACTAAATTCTTCTTTCTTGTGTCCTACCTTTTAACTTTCAATATGTTTGTACAATGAGTTCATTCGTGATCGGTATATGTACAGTGGTATAGCAACGAATATTGGTGTCTTTTATTTGTCGTGTTAATTGAAACTAAAATATGCCGTTTTTCTGATTGAATATCATAGCCATGGAAAGAGTTCAATGTATATAAAGAAAATCTACAGCACCTGGGCATGGAGATAGATTCGTGCATTTCCCATTTCTTTCCTGAGAAGTTGAACCGTCACATGGAAGCCCACCATTGAATGGAGGAGGATTGTCACATGCCCTACTCCTTCTCTGTAAAGTTTCCACATCGACTCCACAAGTCTCTGGGCAGGAAGTCTGTGTCCATTCACTCCACTGACTAAAACTGCCATTCACGACTTGACCTAAGACGAATAAATTGATAACAAAAGACAGTGTTCGAGACAGTGCTCTCTTTGAACTCAATATGTACACATGAATATGCTACAGCGACATGTTCAAGTGACATCGACTGATTGTATATTGTTTTTATAAACAAAGACAAACTAGCTTCAAACATTCATAGAATGACGATGTCGCATGATAAGAGGGATTGTTTCCTGAAAAATACACATCAACATGTTCCTCCCAGGGAATCAAGTGTGTTAAAAATACTTGTACATTTGCCTTCTTTCACCATCCATGCAAGGTATAAAACGGTCGATCCCTTGATTACATACACTTTCACCAACCACATGTCAATTTGAACGTTCAGCAATTAGCTTTGGAACAATTTTTTGCAGACTATAGAACAGGTTCCTGCAGACAAGAAATATGTGCAAGGTTTACAACACAAGTCCACGATTAAGTCGCTGTTCACTTGCGCCAGGACACCAGAGTTCAAATTTCTGACCAGACAATACGCTATCGTCAGCATGCAGCTAATCAGCATGCACGGCGACCCTGTGTCAAAACATGTTAGCCAAACACAAATGGAGTTTGGAGTATATAAACTAGGGCAATCCCCGATGGTCTCGTGTAATGTTTTCAGATAGTCCAGATTCACTCTGGACCTTCTAGATAGATATGTCTTTAACGAAAGTCATGCAAACGCGAACGTAAGCCAACATGACAGATTTGGGCGTAAGTCTGTAATGATGTGCCGCGTGATCACCATGATTACCAGAACGCCACTGAATATTGTTCATGGAAGGATTACTACAGGGACAACATACTGGTGCCAATAGTTGTGTCGTTTATCGCCATGCTCGTTCACGTTTTGTTTTTCAAGGCGATAATGCTTGTCCCACGCATGCACGTAATCAACTACCGTGTCCTTCCCTTTCCTTATTCATCCATTACCATCACTCGACGCATCTTTGTATTTCAGTAATCGTCTGTTATTTTCGAATACCCCTACCTTTTTGGAGAGTACGTTTACATTTTAAAAGAACACGATTATACGTTTATGATATTTAAGGAATAGTGTGTGTCAAGTGTAGACACGTGTTTATCTCCCCTTCTAACAAAATGCTTCGTCAAATACGTGTGCGGTCGACGTCGATAGCATATATAAAATAGAACACGTGTGTTTTCAATATAGTCGACAATGTATCATGACTGCATGTATCAAGAATATATGATTTGACAAAAATACATTCCAATGTAATGATCTATAACAGTTTATATTTTGAACTCAATTCTATTTCATTTCAAATACATGATAATAATGCCTATATCTGTAACACGTGTCAGAGAGCAAATATTATTGTTTTACCTGGACATGGAGGAATGTCTTCACATACTTCAAACTGTTGTTGATAATAGGGTCCTTCACATGGTTTTCCACCATTTAATGGCACAGGGCTTTCACAACGCCTATATCTGTTCAGCAGCTTTGTAATCTGCACTCCACATGTTGCAGAGCAATTATCAGCACTCCACTTGCCCCATGGGCTGTAACCGCCGTGAACAACATCATCTTAAAGGGGAAAGTCACAGGTTCCAAAAGCTCATTTATCGCAAATGAGTATTCTCACATTCTAAACACAATCAGCAGTAAAATAATAATAAAAAATCCAAATAAAAATATTGCTTAAATATTCTTCATATACTTGTTGCTATCATGATTATTTTTGCTAGTTTTATTTGCAAAATGAACGGAAGTCAAACTACACCAACGGATTGGTACATCCTAACCAACTGAATGCATGGAAGTAATACTTCCGCGTTTGAATTGTATGAAGTACGTTAGTATAGAGTAGAATATCTGTCGGCTCCATTACCTGGACACGGAGGTATGTTACACTCCATGGATGTTGATTCATAGTTGGTACCACTGCATGGAAGTCCACCGTTTTGTGGTGCAGGGCTGTCACATGACCTGTTTCTCCAAATATTAACGGTAACTCCGACTCCACAAGTCTTTGTGCACGTCGCTCCAGCCCACTGGCTCCATTCTCCATAACCACCATCAACTATGTCATCTAGAAAAGATATTGTTACCTAACATGTAGGTAAGTTGTCTTTCAACATAAAAGACATTTGCTGTAGTGTGTGTGTGTGTGTGTGTGTGTGTGTGTGTGTGTGTGTGTGTGTGTGTGTGTGTGTGTGTGTGTGTGTGTGTATGTATAAAGCGAACTCGTGTACCTGAATTAGGAATAAGGTTGTATGTGTATTAAGCGAAAGTGTGTAACATTATTAGGATCTATTCTCCAACACGGTGATTTTGTATCAAATGTTTACAGTTCTTAGCACTTGTTATTACAAATTGCATCACGAGTAAAGGTCGATGGTGCAATCATGGTGTAATCATAATTGAAGAATAGAAGTAGCCAGATGCGCAGCATGTAGGATGCACAAGACCCCATACTTCAGTTCGATTTTGAGGACATTTCCACATTAAATTAATTGCTATAATATTAGTGTTTTATTTTATTTTATGATATTAGACATGTAGAGCACATTTCTAAATTTGATGCATCAGTGACAAAAATGATGTCCGATGCAATTCCTCTTTTTGACTTGTACCATATGTTCCCATGCTTTTTCAGGTGAAAAATGTATTTGCCTTTGCATGCGTTTGTGACGTGTGCCCCCATGGGGAAGGATACGCTCACCTTTTCGCAAAAACCTATTTCACTGTTTGGTTGAAATATTGGTTACACCTACTTGGGCTGTCAGTCCAGATTTGAAGATGCGACAATGTCGTATTGGCCATTCGAGATATACACATGAGTATTTGTTAAAAGGTGAGAATCCTCCGTTTTGTAACCCTTGTGATGAAAGAATCACAGTCAAGCATGTCCTGCTTGACTGTATTGATTTTTCCTTCACAAGAGATAAATATTTCAGTTTTAAAACATTTGATACTATGTTTTTTTAAAGGAAATAGACCTTATTCATAAATGTTGATGTATTTACTGTATTGTTTTAAAAATGGGTAGTGATAATTAATAACTTAGATTGTTAGTGGCTGTACCCTCGAGGGGGGTTAAAGTAGCGTAAAATTATTGTCCCCCAAAGAGTGTATGTAAGTCCCATATCATTCGAAGTATTTTTCTGCATGCCATGCTTTTAAACGTAGCATTTTTGACATTTTTATCTTAGGCTTAATTGGTACACTGTCGCCAGTGACTGAAGCGATGATATGAATCCTGCCGGGGTCAATGCAGGAAGCAAAGGCTCTGTAAGTCCCCATGGTCCCTAGTATGGTAATCTCCCTTTAGTCACTGACGATCTCTAGCCCAGTTTATATTGTGTTGTTCACTAATACTTATGACTTTTATATATTCTCAACTGGTTTTAAATCGACTCAGTGATATTCTAGTTATTGTACTGTCCAACGTTGACAGCTTTTTATATTGTCTAAATATATGTATTATTAATGTACTTCTCGTCACGATATGGCTGAAATACTGCTGATGAGACGTTAAATCTTAACTCACTCACTCGCTCACTGTTTGGTTACTTTATAAACACTTGATTCATAAACACATGCCCATGATATAGTCGGAATCGTACAATCAACTCTGCTTCATGCAGAGATTTATACTGGATGTGGGAAGGGATAGGAAGTTATCTATATATATTAATGTTACACTGCCAGTAAAAGACAAGCAAAACCTACCTGGGCAAGGTGCAACACCCTCGCAATCAATTTGTCGTGCTTCGGTAGACGGACCTTGACAAGGCAATCCCCCATTTTGTTGTGCCGGGCTATTACAGGATCTATTTCTCCTTACTACTGTCTGAACCTTGACTCCACAGGTTAGTAAACATTGATCCGTAGTCCATGGGCCCCACTCTCCATACTTGCCATTGATTATGCCATCTTAAAAGGAGTGAGTGGGGTGTGGAAATATATCAACATGGTACTCAAACTGCATCTCCAATTAACGACAGCAAACACAGATACAAATGTTTATAAGCTAGTGCATACAAGATATCAATATACAATATTTTGAAACATAGTTAAAAAAGTACTTAATAATATCTTGATTTCAGAGAACATTATGTTTAACATTTACCTTAAAAAATGTTAACTCAAGGTGTTGACTGATGTTCTCATACCATTTCGTGATCATCTGTCCCTCGAGGACAGACCCGTGAAGATCCGGATTAGAATAGGTCTTCAGCAACCCATGTTTGCCGTAAAAGGCGCTATACTTGTAAAAGGCGATCGGGTGGTCAGGCTCGCTGACTTGGGTGATTCATGTAATCGTATCCCAATTGTGTGGATCGATGCTCATAATGTAAATCACTGGATTGTCTGGTCCAGACTCGATTAGTTACAGACCGCCGTCATATAGCTGGAATATTGCTGAGTGCGGCGCAAGCAATAAGCAAAACCAAAACCCTCGAGGATAATTCAAGGATCAGTAGACCGCCTCTGTTGTCTAGTGGTAGAGCGTCCGCCCGGAGAGCGGAAGGTCCGGGGTTCGATCCCCGACCGCGTCATACCAAAAGACGTCAAAAGATGGTACTTGTTGTTACCCTGTCTGGCGCTTGACATTAAGGGGCTAAAACAAGGACTGGTCGGCTAGGAGTCAGTATACTGTGTCTGAGTGGGGCATTCATTTTAAACTGCGGCATGGTATCTCAGTGAGCTAGCACTATAAATCGGCATCACTCCGGACTAGTACAAGCAGCCACACAAACACATACACGTACATGTACGTCGCTACATAAGTGCAATAATCTTGGACGCGACGTTAAACCCAATTTCACCTCACCTCACCTCACCAAGGATCAGTAGGTTCGATTCCTAGAAGCCGAAGTCCTTTGGTAATCAGTGGTCATGTGTTCTACGAAAGTGCTCAACACAACTCGGGATTTCCCCTCACACTGTCATGTAACTGTAATACTGTTCATAATAGTGTTAATCTCACACTCACTCACCCTCATTGTAATGTATTTCGATAATTTTGTTATGAAGCACCTCTTCAATGTTTTGAATACCATGCATGAAATAGACACGCCATGATGACAAATTCCGATTCATTCTTTACCTGGACAAGGAGGTATGTCGCATGGACTAGTCTTTTCTTCAGAATGGGAACCTTGGCAGTCAAGGCCACCATTTTGTGGTTTAGGACTGTCACATGTCCTATTTCTCCTTCGTACGTATCTAACATTGAGGCCACAGGTTGTAGGACATTCTCCCGACCACGAACTCCATTCCCCATATGCACCATCAAGTGGGATACCTTTAACATATTTTGCTCAAGTATTGTCAAATGTATATACTATTTCTTGCACATCTTATTATTCTGATACATATCTGCCTTAAACATGAATATCAACTTCATACTTATAGCCAACAATGTCATTGCATTCTGAAACAAACAATGTATATCTGCCATGTATAGTGGAAGTGTTACCACGATAACCTACAGTCCGTTTGACTCCAAATGAGAACGATGAATTGCAAAATAACTCGAAATCCAGAAAAGTGTACGAAACATCAATACGGTACTTGACCATGAATACCCTGTACCCAACAAAATCTGAATTTTGTTTATTTTAAGACCCATGACGGATGAAGTTCTTTAAGAAACTATCATGTAATTTTGTATAGAAATGTGTACATGACACGTAGGGGGACAAACCGTGGAAGGAAAAGCGCAAGCACGCATGAACTGCACGTTCTGTGGTAGGGGAAATGACAGAGCGTTAGAGGGGCCGTCGCAATCTGACTTGCTCATGCCATTGATCTCGTCGTCGGAACTGCTGGTGCCTGAACCGACTGCCACTATTAGAGGCTGGGCTGTTGCTGGCTGTAGTCCATCTCGTGACCAATAACGTGGCTCTATCTCGTCAACAACTGTGGCCACATAACGCCTCCATGTTTCTACTGTTACCCGACCAAGGGATTCCTTTACGAGTTGTTCAACGTCTCGTAATTTGAACATTGTGTTCGATCTTCCAACGTCACCCTTGACGATGCCCCATACCAACTCGATTGGATTCAGGTCGCAGTGATAAGGTGGCAGTCGTAAGACAGCGTGACCCTGACCCTTGATGTAACTGTCAACTTTATACACGGGGTCAGGTTTCATAGTTTTGATGATTTCATAGAGCTGTGGTTTCGTCGCTCGAGAAGGAAAGGTAATGTTCCTCCGTTGCAGCCAAGTAACCATGTCTCCTTTACGGTTATTAGAGGTTGGAATCTTGCTTTCTGGATCCTGCACACTATGATATGATGCGTTGTCCATGACAATGAGAGACTTGGTAGGCAAAGCAGGGACTAATTTATCTTTCACCCACTCCAGAAATACATTGCCGTTCATTTATATGTGGTAGTCCCTGTTGTCTTTGGCCTTGGCTCTAAAGACGAGGTCACAGTCTGGGAGAAAACCCTGACTAGCAGAACCAGCATGGAGAACTATGAGTCTTTCACCCTTTCCCATTGGTAACTTTCTACCAGACTCCTTACAGTCACCACTGGGTACCCACTGACTGCTGGCTGTGTGTGACGCATTTACCCATGTCTCATCTAAGAAGACGGGCTCATATCCTTCTTCACGTTTCTGCTTGATGGTACGAAGGTAATGATTTCGGAGACGAACAATGTCAGACCGTTCACACAACACAGCCCTATTTTCTCCAGTTATCTTTTTGTATTTGTAACCAAATGTATGCAACAGCTGCCATAGTTTGTACTTTGTAACACGTAAATCGTGGTCAGTTTCAGGGTGTTTCTTCAAAATTCTTAGGGACAGGTACTTATTTTCTGAGTGCAGTTTAACAATTACACATCTGACTTGATCCCTCTGAAAACTGTCTTATTTATCAACCTTGCGTGGTTTTGACATGTTCCCTACCTCCTTGGCCTGACTATTTGTATAACAACATTTTTAAGTTTCTGAGGGGACATACCAATAGCTTTTGAAGCTCGTTTCAAGAATTTATTCATTGCATAAAAAGGCTTTGCTCTTTCTGCTTCACTTCTAAAGAAATCATACACATTCAACATCAACTGTTTAACATCTGCTGAGTAGCGCATCTTGTCATTGAATGAACAGGGTCACTGTGTAGCACGACCATGCTTGCGCTGTTCCTTCCACGGTGTGTCCCCCTGCGTGTCATGTACACATTTCTATACAAAATTACATGATAGTTTCTTAAAGAACTTCATCCGTCATGGGTCTTAAAATAAACAAAATTCAGATTTTGTTGGGTACAGGGTATTCATGGTCAAGTACCGTATTGATGTTTCGTACACTTTTCTGGATTTCGAGTTATTTTGCAATTCATCATTCTCATTTGGAGTCAAACGAACTGTATGTGAATATAACAAAATACAACACATTCAACGTACATGTACTTAAGATCGTTGAATCGATTGTTCAATGATATATGTGACGACATTAAAACATACCGATGAAACAGTATTATGCAATTGGAGCATGGTACTTTAGAGACAAACGTATCAAAAACAAACATATTTTTCAAACAATCATATATGAGCGCAACGTCATATACCCTTACCACAGGACTCAGGTATTTTGTCACACAGTATCCGTGATGACTCCTGCTGCACAAGTCCTTGTTCCACACAAGTCTTTCCATTGCCCTTACGTAACGGGTTGGCACAGCTCCTCAGTCTCGTCCTTGTGCCCGTCACATTTACTCCACATGTTTGGTCACATGTGACATCACCCCATTCCTGCCATTCGGAGACGCCACCATCTATATCTGAAGATGCAACAGAAAATGGAGATGACACGTGTTCTCAAAATGTATAATTATCCTGTAGTTGATACTGGTCGGGAATTGATATCATCTTACTTGCTGTAGGGTGTCCTCTTTTCTGCATGTCACAACTGACATGTTTTTACGGAACATGTTTTACACCTTGACCTTGCCCTTTGATAAACCTTCAAACTTGGAGTTTACCTATCTTTTATAAGGTCAGTTTGGCAGCAAATGCATGGTGTACGTAATCACTTCCAAATTTTTAGGACAATTCAACGTTATGTGAATGCTATGATATTAGTGTTTTATTTTGCTTTATGATGTCAGACATGTGGAGGACATTTCCAAATTTGAAGCATCAGTGGCATAACTTGTATCCGATGCAATTCCCTTTTTTGACTTGTACCATTGTTCCATGTTGTGAACAATTGCCTTGCCTTTGCATGTGTTTGTGACGTTCGCCATCAGTTCAAATGATGAGGACAATCGCACTTTTTATCAGCATAATGAAAAAAAATCCAAAACGATTATCAATAATATGGCAATAGGAATATGTATACAACCGCCTTCCACTCAGGAAATTGAGTTTCCTCATATATCAATAGATTATTTAAGTATTGACTTTCACTTTGGCGCCGCGATTCGCTGTGCAGAGTTGCGTCCCTTGGACACGCCAAAAACCTATGATTGTGGGTTCGAATCCCGGTTCACCCCAATTATTTTTCTAGGTTTGTCAGCACCATACCCGTGCTCGTGGGTTTCACCGAAGTGGTAAACGTCTGAGACCTGCCTCACTTCGGGCTTTCCTCACACATTAAGCTGACACGCCATGATATTACTGGAATACTGTTAAAAGCGGCGTTAAACCCCACTCACTCACTCACTTTGTATCGCAAGCTCCGATGTTCATACAGTTTGGCCCTCATTCTATGTAGGTTCATACTCCAATGAACTCACACAAAGTGAAAGTCCATTCTTATAATTTTGGTATCACAATTTCTTACCTCAAAGGTTGTTGGCCAAGATCTATGCAACAAATTTTTTAGTACGTGTGACTTCATGTTCACACTGACAGCCATACAACAATCAGCTATGTCGTGGAACAAAATAGTCTCTCAAAAATAGAGGTGACATGAGCGTGTGGATGTGCAGTCTGCTCTACAGAAACTCTTAAGCAACCCATGTATCCAACTAATATCACCATTAGATGAGAAAGGTCAAGAACTACCTCAGTAAGTCAGTCACAATGACAGCGCGTCGTAATACATTTACATCAGGTACAAGACGTCCAAATGGCCGACACGATAAACGTGACGGGAGAGGTTTCCGAAGTTGTTAAAAAAACGTGGCGGGTACATGTGTTAGTCATCAATTATCAACTGGCCAAACATTGAAAGGTGGTTCAAAATGTGCCGAACAGACACTTTGGTAAATTCAAAGATTGCTGGGAAAGGTCACTGTGAGCCTAGACACGGATCGAGTTGATACTACGATAGTTTAGATGTGTATTTCTTTGTTTCGTTCATAAGGATGGGCCGTAACGAGGGTATTCGTGAACAAGCATGCTCACTGACGTTTCTCAAGGTATACTGACACGCTGAGTTCAAGCTTTAGGGTTCTAAATGATTAGAAGAACGCTTCTGTGAGTTCTCGTGCTAGGAAATTCCCAGGGGAATGTGAAAATAGTCAATCCATGTCTACGTCATTTCAAAAACACGGTCTCGTGTCAAATTGAGTCGTTCATACAATTGTGAACGTCAATTTTGCAGTGATGTGACCGACCTCTCGTCCATTGGAAAAGCCGTATATCGTGTAAACGGCAAATTAAAAAATCGTTTATCAGTAGAACTCAAACGGAACTTCCTGATTTTCAAGTGAACATATTGTTATGATGAAAACCTCACACTTATGTGTCAAGGAACATGCCAATTCTGTATTCAAATGAACAAAGGCAGATAGAATTGTTCTTCCCATTTGAAAAAGAAGAAGTAAAAGATTACTGGCAGAGGAAGGTGAGAGGATTTTGACGCTCTAACTGACTGAAAATAACTCCCCTTCCCTAATTCTTCTCATTAATATTGTGGATATTGTTTTATGACCTTTCCCTAACTCCCTCTTACCTAACCATCAGCAGACGAACAGTATTTCGACGACTTCGTACGGCTAGTATACGAGCCTACCGACCCTTCCGTGGAATGGCCTTGACCCGTCTACACCGTCAACGCAGACTGCAATGGGCTAGAACTGTACGTCGGTGGCAACGACGTGACTTGGCGAGAGTGCTCTTTACAGATGAAAGTCGGTTCTGTCTGTTCAGGAACGATGGCAGAGTTCGAGTTTTTCGACGAAGGGGAGAGCGACTGGCGCCACCCGTTTGGAGGTGGAGGCGTCATGGTATGGGGTGGCATTTGTGGCCAGATTACAACACGATTGGTTATCATCCGAGGAAACCTGAATGCTCAGCGATACAGGGTTGAAGTGTTGAGACCTGTTGCGGTGCCCTTTATTCAACATCAGCCAAGAGGATTAATTTTGCAACAAGACAACGCAAGGCCTCACACCGCCCGAATTGTTCAATACTACCTGAACAACGTTAACGTCAACGTATTGCCCTGGCCACCTTGTTCTCCAGACATGAACCCCATTGAATATATCTTGGATCATCTTGATCGTCAGCTGAGACAACATGTACCGCCTCCAGCGAACCGACAGCAACTTGAACAGACTCTATTGAATTTATGGAACAGGATTCCTGTTGACATTATCTGCCGACTGACGACGTCAATGAGGAGGCGTGTGTTGGCGTGCATGGATGCCTAGGGTGGTCACACTCGCTATTGATGACGTGTTACCTGACTTCGTATACTGTGTCATTAATGGACTCTTCGTGCACGATTTGTGTAATTTTTAATTTGGACCCCTTGACTCTTTCTTTGTGTAATGCGGAGAATGCAATATCGGCATTACATTGCATTTTCATTCTACTTCATGGAAAATGATTCCGTTTATAAATTAATCATCATAAATGTCACCTTAATATCGTTAAAGTATGTCCACTTTGAGCATTAATGCACGCCAGAACACGTCGATGACGTCAATCGTCGGATGTCGTTTGGGGAATGCGTTGCCTATCGTTAAGGAGCCGTTGTTGTTCCAATTGCTGGCGGTTGACCTGAGCCACTGGGCGACTTCTGATTTGGCGATTGAGGTGGTCCCATAACGGCCTGAATGTGTGCGTTGTTAAGGAAGTTCAGCGTCAACCATGCCGCAAGCGGTGTCGCATTGTCATGCTGGAAAATGATTCCACGGGTCTGTTGCTGGATGAATGGCTCCACAACTGGTCGCAAAACTATCTATGTCTCTGTGCATTCATGTTACCATGAATAACCACCATTCTCGTGAGCCACGTGAGCGCAGATGAATTGTACGGATGTAGCGGTCTTGAATGGGCGTAGTCACCCGTGGTCTCCCGCTTCTCGGCATGTCTGTTGTCCGGCCTGTCTCACATCCCCGTTGCATCTAACTGGTAACGGTTATACGGGCACATCCAAACGTTCTGGCAATGACGGCGTGCGTCACTCTCTGTTTGGCCATTCCAACGGTTCTCCCCCTCTCTAATGCAGTTAAACGTGCCTTTCTGTGGTGTGTTTTTCAGAGTGGTCGTCGAGTCGGCGCAGCAGTTTTATACAGAATATCTGCACGTGCATTCCGTGCAACGGCACCTGACATCGTTTTTGCAAAGTGCACGTTTTTTGCGCAAATTGTCAAATTTTCCCACTTTTCACCACTGATTACATTTGGCTTAGTACGTGGCATATGTATAAATATGTTTTCATATGAAATAAATCACTTTAAAAAAATATTTTTAAAAATTGTTGGTATCATGTGGACATGAGTTTAAAGGACTAATCTTTAGATGATACGGGCAGTTACTTTTAATTCGTACTGACACTGATATTGACTGCCGCACAAGACTCCAGTTGAACAATTGAGGAATAGGGGCTTGTAAAATCATTTTCGATCAACTGTCGATTATTATTACAATCAGTGAGTGAGTGAGTGAGTATTGTTTTACGCCGCTTTTAGCAATATTCCAGCAATATCACGGCGGGGGACACTAGAAATGGGCTTCACACATTGTACCCATGTCGGGAATCGAACCCGGGTCTTCGGCGTGACGAGCGAACGCTTTAACCACTAGGCTACCCGACCGCCCCTTATTACAATCAGGCGTTACAAACAGAAAATAAAAGTATCCAAAGGTGTAAGCATGATCACTTCATGTATAGTGACCTTTAAAATGTTTCAAGAAACATCAATTAATTATAAGGTAATGTGGAAGATAGGGATGACACGGATTTTATCTTCTTCACTATTTCAAAGGGTCGTTTCGGTCCAGGACATAGTGCCTTTATCAAGGAACTGTACATTTCACATTGTACTTTTACATGTACATATTGTAAATCTTGAAATTAATGCGTCTCCAAATTAATACGACTGTTGACCCCAAGCCAAAAATACGACTCAAAATCAAATGCAAAGTTTCATTTATGCGAAAAAACACCACTCGCATTTTTCGCATTTAATTCACGCTCGCGTTAATTTCAAGATTTACGCTATTATTTTATGGCTAAGCACGATTGGATTTTATATAATAATTATTCAGTAACCTGTTATCAAAGGTGGACGTATTGACTTATCATGAAACCGCACCAATACATTGTGTAACTCCATGACATTTGGTCAGTCAACACTTTAATGTCAAAATATAAGTACTCACGTACAAAGCATAAACACACACCCATCCTATATGAATATAATGCATGAGAAAGCACGGCATACAGGTAAAAAATATAAGCATGGCCATGGCTGACTTGCATTGTCTATCTAATAAGTAGGAATCATGGCTTCCCGCGCGTTATTAAAATATGCTGCATTGAAACCCAGCCCTTTTCTTCCATTGGTTTTTTTTTTCTTATGTTACATATTTCGGGACATGCTGATAATGATACTGATATTATTTTCATTATCTTAGGTTTTGCTATCTTAACTTAACTACAATAAACGTGTCTATCTGATACCTACGAAATAGATGTTTAAACCAGAATGGCTCAATAAGCTGCACGGACTGATCGCAACGGGTTGTGATGCTTGGTAATGTGTATCTGGGCATAAGATAGTAAGGAGCTGTTCATATTCAAATACAAAGACCTGATTTATTATTTTTTTAAAGATTGTATTTGGTGTGATTGAAGCAAGCAATCTTCCGATTTCTTCTTGCCATTCTACGAATGATCATTCGCCATCTAAACATGTTTTTGCAATACAAATTCAAGTGTTGACAGACCTATATCTAATACATGTACAAATGTAGCGGTAAAAGTCAAGAGCGGCAGCTCATATAGTGTCATGCTCATTACCCAGATACAGAGAATGGCATGACCTATTACACCTGTTTATTTCACCAAGTATTAGTTTTAGAATACATATAATATTCACCAAGGCATCGAATTCCGCTACGCCACCTGTTCAATTTCCCCTCTTATGTACCAAACCACAAGTCTTGATGTTCATAATTTGAACATTGATCATTTCGGGGGTTTTGTTGGTAACCAAAGCAATATAAAACATTTCTGGAATTTACGGAACATGTGGTAGAAAAACGCATGTCCTTAATGTGTATAAATCAGATGAACCCAGGACCAAATTTGGCGTGAATCTGGAAGTCATACACACTCAGTGTATTCAGGCACCACTACTCCTAAATTCAAGACAATTGATAACTGATACAAACGAGTTACTCAAATATCACACACATTAGTTTGTGAACTTCTATGAACTTCTTCTTGATTAATATATAATAGGATTTGTATCCATACAGAAAAAGTACACAGAACATGTCCATGTTAAGCTTTGTATTGTTATGGATGTAACGGTTACACATTGCTAAACATAACATGAGGAACACAAATAAAACGTTTTGCACAGGCTCCAGGTAAGACTGAACATACATTTACATGTAACTTCGCATTCGATACACATGGTGAAGTAACACACGGCAGTATTTCTGACGTGTTTCAATATGGCGTCACTTTTGCGACACCATCGCGCCCTCTACCGCGTCGCTTTTATGGCACTATCCTGCCACTTTTGTGCCAACTTCGCATCATTTACGCGTCACTTTCGAGTCATTTTCGAGCCGCTTTCTCGGTATTATCACGCCATGTTCGAAATGTAGTGTAACAATAGAGCACGGGTTCCTTTATCCATGGTGAAATAGTTTCTCACATATTTCTTAAAATTTCGGAATGATCAGGGTGACCTGGGGCTGCAACAAGACAGCCCCAGCATCAATGTCACAATGTGAATTTCAAAGACGATTTGAACATGGCCCAAATGTCAAACTATTCTTACTTCGTTCTGTTGATTCTCCTTCGTTAATGTGTGTTATGACCATGTGCATTCACGTGGGTTACTTTGTCAATATTTGATTAATTATTATATTAAATCAACCATAAATATTACACATCTGTATGATTGTGATTTTCTTTGATATCTTCAGTAAACTAAAGTGAACATACCTTGTGAATTGGAAAAGCCAATCGAAACGAGAAATATCCAAAGAATCGCTGATTTATCCAGAAACAACATTGTACGCATTAATATTTCTACATTATTCTCAGTGTGTATGGTGACTGACGTCGTTGGACTTCACGTATGAACCGAGACACACACAAGAGTTGCTTTAGTAATGCTCTCCTTACAGGCACACAGTTGAATTGGCATTTTGATATGAAAAGCTCATGCATATGCTAGTTCTATAGCTGCAATAAAATCAATATTCGCTTTCCTTGTCAGTTATACAAACGTTATTTCAGGCAGATCCATGCATGAGTGAAAGTGTTCAATGGGCATAAATCGCCCTATTCTGTTGAACAAAATTGTTATGTAAATGTAATGTAAACGTGTGACGCATGTAGAAACCCCTTACATTTCGTTAATGCAACGATAAAGTCGTGTGTTTAAGTCATATCAAGGCTAGGAATGTTAAGACCGTGTGTCCTATGGGAATGTTCTCTCTGCGCACAAAACCTGGTGTGTTTAAGAAAACACTTGCATTCACATGCAAGTCAATGTTTAACCCGATTGTCAATTCGAGTCAGTTCAATATTACTAGTGTCATTTTGCCCAAGTCGTTTACGCTTGGTATTGTCCAACAGTCAAATGTGTATTTTACTGTATACTGCGACTACCTCCTTCAGACTTTGTCGATTCCTCTCGTATATGCTGTAGAGGCGGTAGGATAGCTGGTATCCTCCAAAACTAACTACATCACTGAAAACCAAAATCACTGCAGTGTAAAACAACAAAGATAATGGTTCAGTGTCTGTCACCTTAATGCCCAATTGGATTTGTCTTAAAACAAAACCAAGTGTTTAAACGTTCTCTCGTCCCAGCGAAGGCCAGGGTTTGATTCTCAAAGATGGATCTGCGAGGTCATTTTTGGTGCACATACACACACCGCTCACCGTGCATCACTCAACAATCATCACTGATTGCTGGAATATTGCTAAACGGGCGAAACACCATACTAACTCACTCGCTTATAAATGCAGAGTACTTTTAACTATCAGGTGGTCGCCATAACACCTACGATAGCATGATAATGACGGCGGATAATAAGGCACAACAATAAATGTGCGCGTGTTAACCTTTAAAGGACTCATAATACTACTCTTCATTAATCGATATCCCCAACATCACAATGATATTGATTCAGCGTTTGACCACTGAAAATACTCTGGTTCATCCTATCCTGTTCATAAGACTATGAAAGCAGAACAGCATTCTGCAACATCACCAATGCAGCTCAACATACGATAAAGCAACTATATAATTTACTGCAATCAGTGTTAAACATTATCATCTGAATGTGATCACGTACTCAAGTATTAAAATGTCTTTAAGGCATCCGATGCATGCTTCACATTTTGTGACCTTAATAAAATGATCAAATGACGTCTTGTGAACCTTGGAATAAATTACCTAAGCACTTCCATCAGTCTGGGTTGTATCTATATTTTCCAGATGATATGATAAACAAAATCACTGGTTGAGTAACTTTTACTTTTGTCAACTGGTGTGTGCGATTTGGACAAAATGAATCACAACTGAATGCCAGCAGCAATCTTTCAGACCTTTATAATTAGTAAGTTTCGGATTTGAAACTCAATAATAATGACACTATTGAACATACAGTTATCGTCCTGGTTGACTCAAACACAGGCAAGGGGCTATTAACCTCCAGCTAGTTCGTTTAACCAACCCACAGGGCACGTACACATGTTACAGGATGTTGTGGACAGCACAATGTAATCCAAACGCCACGCGGTAGGGGTTTTCATACAAGAAACAGCATTGGCGCAATAGCACGAGACCTCCCATCGTCACTCCCTAACGATAACTGTTTACAACTTTTGTTGTGGCAAACTGTGCTCTTGTAGTCATTTCTTTTCGTTTTCTGTATTATACCTTATCTTATTTTCAGTTAGTTTGTATGATTGTTTTCACGTCTGAGAGACATTATTGTATGACACAATGGGCGTGACATGTCTATCTATTTATCTAAACACACGTGCGCGCAATACAAATAATATATCTTACTCTATGGGAATTATATCAGCTGTCTTTTATCGTGTTACGTCTTCATCTGTTATTCTAATGCAAATAGCAATGCCAACAGTTCCCTGTTGTTTTCAGATGCAGAATTGACTTGCCTTTGCGTATGTTTGTGACAGGTGTAACCAGTGGATCAGGATACGCTTGATTTTTCACAAACACCACATGTCGTGAGGGTATTCATGCACGATTTCTGTCACATGAAAAGAAACGGGATTGGCTCAATAACACGAGATCTGCCGTCGTCACGCCCTAACGATAACTGTTTACAACTTCTGTTGCGGCAAACTGTGCTCTTGTAGTTGTTTTAGTTTTCTGCTTTAGACCTATCTCATTTACAGTTACGTTTGTATGACTGATTTTCACGTCTAAGAAAAACTATCTATCTATCATTGAGTGCGTTGCTTTGACGCCGCGTGGAACAATAATTAACCTTTTTTTATGGCGTGTCAGATGAAAAGGGTTAAGTTATGAACCTAGAAACAAAATGAAGGCGAACCGGGATTCGAACCCACGACCATTGGTTTATGGCACGCCTAAGGGACGTAGCTCTGCACAACGAAATGCGCCACAAGTAGCCACAAGAGCCAAACATAGGCAAGAACGCGAATTATTATGCAGTGTCCTGATATTTGCACACATTCGTCACCATTCGCCCCTTTCCGTAACCTGCAAGAAGACTCGTCCCCCTCTCGATGAATGTTATGTACGAAAATACGACAAACCAATCAGAATGCGCGTATGATTTCAAGTTCTTCGTCAAAGAATCCCTCAGAAACAATTTTTGATTTAATATAACATATGTCTTACATCTAAAAATATACCCAAGACACAGTTAAATGTGTTTAATCATACTGTATAATTCCGCACGTCCCGATGTCCTTTAAATTGCATCAGAAATATATATAATATATGGGGAAATATATGTGAACCATTACGCAACGAGTTGACAATCTTTTTAGGTATGCCCGTTTGCGCTAAGACGGAGCCAAGTCGCAAATATGGCCATGATAAGGGGCACGAGTCGCTATTCGGCTTGGCCCGGAATAACACGAGTTGGTCACGAATGATTTGCACAGTGTGCAATAAGTGATTCTCGAAGCTGATTGGTCAGTGAAACAACATTCATTCGACGACGGAACAATTTGTTTCTCATTGATTCACAAATCAAGTGCATTCATTGATATGTTTCACTTGCAACAATCTCACTGATTCGAGATTTATAAGCCAAGAACATAGTTTCATATCATCGACAACGATTCCACATGTTGTAAACAAACATGGCGGACCATTTGACACCTGTCAAAGTAAATGACCTCGTTAAAGTGGACGGAGATTTGACAGGAAGAGTTATGCACATAATTCTACCTCTGAACACATTTAATGTCTTTGTTGTCAAAACTGCATATAGCCAGATTGAAGTTCCAAGATTCCGATTGCGAGTTTTGCGAGAAACTGTTTCTTGTGCGCCAAGATCAACACCACCAAGTCCGGGTTTCCAGCGTCTATGCTGAAGAACCTTTTGGAAACCCCGAATTCGAACACCAGACTTAAAGCAGACGGGTTTGCCTTTGTGAACGATGATGACATCAATAAGTTGCCAATAATAACTGCCAATGAACATGAAAACACAATGAACAGGATTAAGATTAATCTTGATATGAATTTAGTGCACAAATCTATACAGGAAAGTTTAAATGACACAAGAAAAGTTGAAGACATTAGCCCAGTAAACTTAACATTATTCTCTGTAAAAGTTTTATTTCGCCACGCAAATCAGATGGTTCAGAATACAAACCGTCTACTTTGAAGGGGATCAAGGGTAGCATAGAGCTTGACCTCAAGAGACAAGATTACAAACATCTGCTTGTGGAAATCTATGCACTTTGCTAAACTGAGGGAGGTTTTGAAATCAAAATAAAATCATAAAAAAGCAAGGCAAAGGAAACCTACCCCAGCGATCTGATCCTGTGTCCGACATTGAACTGAATAAGCTCAGTGAATGCGGCCAGCTTGGTAGCTGCAGATACTGTGTTTAACACATTGTGGTGGAACAGAACAGTCTACAGTCTACTTTGGACTCAAAACTGATGACGATGATAAGGAATATTTACAGTATTTGGAACGTCAGTCAAACACATGACGGGGTGATCAATCCCATGACACGACACCCAAAGCCTGAGCTCAACCTGGGGACGAATGTTGTCCGGTTGCCGTTTACAAGTTGTATGGGATGTTCGCAAGCGAGTCTTTTGCAATGATGACAGTCCATTTTGTCTTGTACCCTACACAGTGTTCGGGGTAAAATCTGGAAAGACGTGGTTTAAACGCCAACCTGTTGGCAGACAAAAGCTGGGCTCCCTTGTGAAGACCATGCCATCAAGGGCTGGACTGTCCACAGACAAAAAGGCTGATGAACCACAGTCCTGGAAAAAGAATGACTCGGGTCACTCTACTGTCGATAGTCATCTACCGGTACCAAAGAGAAGAATACTCATTGATTCTGACTCTGAGTAGTCTATAGAACTTGTTGTCCGGAATAAACTCGCAAAACCAGTTCTGTTGTCGTTCCTGATTCAGCTGTCACATATCTGATACAGGTTTTGCGTCTTTCCTCTTCTCTGAGCGACACGACGCGACGGCGGCTGTCTCAATGACAAAGTCTTGCTAATAACAACAAGCCTTGATTAGCAACATTGTCCGCTTTCAGCAGTGTGATGTTCTCAGTGTACACTATGCAAATCAAACTGCAAGGTGATCTTTAAAGTTGTTTTAACTGTACTATTTTTCATGCGGAACAACATGTTAACTGAGAAATGCGGTTGGGGTGACAGTAATGCTCACACGCGGATTGATACAAAACAGCTGATTCTTGATCGGCGATATTATTTTTCTTTATTTTTAAACATGTCTTTAACATGAATATTGGTGAGTGAGTGAGTGAGTTGGGTTTAACGCAGCTTTTAACAGTATTCCAGCTATATCGCGGCGTGTCAGCTTAATGTGGGAGGAAAGCCCGAAGTGATGCATGTCTGAGACGTTCAGCACTTCGGTGAAACCCTCATGGGTGTAAGCATGTCCTG